AAGAGAGAGATGTAGGTCTGTCTGTGATACATGCAGCAGGCCTCTCTGGTATAACGACCAGGGCCATTGCCTTTGCCTGGATCCTAGTCTGGAGGGGAGGTTTACAACCTCTATAGACCCATATTGACATGATCTTGCTATAGTCTAGTAGCTCCACTTGACCTAAAAGTGGAATCGCGGTATTAATGGGGCAGTTTGGATGCTAAATCCGGATGGCACAGATGGATTTTCAGGTGCTCCTACTTGTACAGTGAGAGAACGCTTGCATTAAATCCGCTTGCTTCAAAGAAGGACCCGGACAGTGCAGAAGAGAAGGGAGGAGGTGATGCAGGTGCAGAGCTCGCCCGCGTCGAGAATCGAAAAAAATATCGAATGTACGTGTATGATTCGATTCAATCGAATCAAGGAGACCGATTGATTGATTGAATTCAAACATCAAACTCAGACCACCCGTCAAGAGAGCCACACACATTCTGGCTACCTGGTAGCTAGAGGTAGCAAGTAGGAAGCAGGAGAGAACGGGCAAGTCTCTGTTGATTGGCCTTGAATGCAAAGAACGGTAACTATACATAAAAGGCACAGATACCGGTACCTCTATCATCCTGGTAACCTGCAAGGCGTAAGTTAAGTCTCCTCCTCTACACACATATCCTTTATGGAATCACTTGGTCCATGGTCTTGAGAAGTGTTTCCTCAGATTTTGCATCATCCCCTCCTTCAAGTATCATAACACTGCCCTGATGAAACATGACAATGCCAACATCCATAGGCCCAAGTGGAGGTCCAGCAGGCGGAAACGGCCATCGCATAAAGAAGGATTGATGAATGAGAAGAAGGGGTGCTACTACATGAAGTGAGAACCAAGGGATCAGGGTATGAACTGTAAAGAGCTGGCCATATAGTGGATCAGCTGCTACCATCAGATCGTAGATGGGTGCCAACATGGTTCGACACAGCCATATCCAAAAGAATGGAAAGATGACTTGTGACAAGACAAAGGAATACAACCCACGGAGTGGCTGGCGGATCTTGTGATAAGGCCAAAAGTCAAATGCCACAGTGTGATATAGAGATCCAGATATTTGAGAGGCACCTATTGCCTCTGCGTAAAAGGTCCTGTCAACACCAGCAGCAATAACAACTTCATAGAGAGCCACTCCAAGACCAATGGACAGCAACGTCAACAGCATCTGCAAGAGTGGGTGTGGAAGAGCATAGAGGGGAGTTCCAGCAAAACCCTGAAACACCATAATGCTGGCAAAGCATTGGACCCAAACAATAATGCTCACAAGTAGTCCAAAGACATACCCAGCTTCAAAGGGACCATTTGGGTTGGAGGGATCCACCTTTGCGGGACCTTCAAAATCTATCAATTGAAAGACACCCGATGCCAACAAGATCACAATCAAAGAGTTGATGGCAATGTTAACTGGAGGAAAGGAATGTGAAGGAACAAGAGGCCTTGGAAGGGTCTGAATGTTGAAAACCCACCACAAGGAGACATAAAAGAGACAAATGCCGAACCAGGCGCCTCCAGGGAAAAGTGGGTATCCAGGATAAACATTGACAAAGAAAGCTGACAATGCCACCGCCATTCCAATCACTAGGCCTGTCATGGTAAGACCCAGCAGGATTCTGCCATGGCCTCCCCAGTACCCCTTGCCAAAGTTCCCAAATGGTGCTGTCAGCGGCCACCCTCCCCCAATGATCCCAAACATGACCAAGTAGTGAAGCAGCCAAAAACTCCAAGGCACATAGGTCTCAACAGCCCACTTGGGGTTGGCGCTCATAGTAGCATATGATAGTACCCAGGAAATAACCAGAACAACAAGAAACCTCACAACTTGATCTCCAATGGGAAGGATTTCCATGGTTGCACCTTTCTTGTTAGTCTCGTTGCTTCTCTCCGCACGTTCGTTGGGTTGTGGCTCTTCCAACTCTGCATGATGATGGGGTGCTGTGCTCATCTTGTTCGTCGGCAATGGTAAGATGTCGCTTTTCGAGGACTTCTTTGTTTTTGTTTGCCCTTTTTATGGTCCAACGTGGACCATGGTTACTTCCATTGGTGGCGGCACTTCGCCTGTTCGAGGCTGTTCATCGCCGAGAGCTCGGCGATGTTCTTCGGAGATTCGATTCGATTCGATTCGATTCTACCGCTCGGTGTTAGCGGAAGCAGCGAAAATAACCGACGAGGCACACCCCTATGAAAAAGAGCACCACGGCGCAAAGAAAAGGGATCTACAGGTTGTGTACAAGTTCTGGTATATTTCTATTTCAGCTTAGTTTTCTAGTTTCTTGCTCGCTAGTAGAGGAGGCTGTCACAATCAGCTGGCCAGCCCGGAGTCGAGGTAGCTGTAGATCATGATCAGGAGGTGGCTTCAGCAGGACGCATCATAGTTTGCGACCCAGGCCATTTCGCGATTGTTCGCGTGTATCCTCCTTGACTTGCGGCGGTGCTCCTTGCGAAGACGGAGCTGTTTCGCGGAACTGTTCCAGCTCTGGTTGGGTAAGACGGCTGTCAACAGTTTCTGGAGCTTCGGAAAGCACCATCGGTTTCTAGTTGCTGCCTAGTTGCTGCTGCCAGGATGTGGCTTGCTTGTTCAGGAGGTTTCTAATGCAGTCGGTAGTACCAGACATCTCGGTCCACTCCATAGGAGTTGGAATAATGAGGTGCATCTGGGTAATGGCACTTGCGCATGAGAGATGCCACAGAGCCCACATTACTGTTGAAGGTCCCAATGAAGTAGGTGGCATCCGACATCAATGACACTTCGGTCAAGAACTCAATGGTGGATTCATAGTCTGCCGGACCATTCCTCTCTCGTCGAAAGTCGCTCCCGTGTTCCGTGTCCTTGGTCACCGTATGGATCTTGCAGCGGACCTTCTTTTCTTTCAAGCTTTGTTTGATTTCATCAATGGCGGCATAATCATCGGACGTGATGAAGCAATCATCAATTCGGGTTTTGTCTCTCTTGGCCACCTCCAATAGCTTGTCTACATAGTCCGAACCAGGATAGGCAGCCGATTCTCCAATGAGCTTGTCACCCCGTCGAACATGAAAGGCAACCGATTTGGTGTGACGAATGTCTGGAATGTTGTTTTCATCCATGACGGCCTTGATTTCCTGCTTGGCCTGGTCGTTGAATTGAAAGTTGTCACAAGTTTCCTTGGCAAACCGATTGTACACCTCCTCTCCTTCAGTTCCATAGATGGGCGGGAAGAACCCACGGTAGCCTTCTCCGGGGCACCATTGCACTTCCATTTGCTGCTCCCTGTCTCGGTAGTCACCGGTCATGCCAACAGCTCCCACCACTTGTCCCATGGGCGGTGTGTGGAAGCGTGGTCGGATGATGGAATCCCATTCTCCTTCTCTCAAAACAGGGAATTGGGGAGTAAAGAATCCATGGAGGACACCGGTTTTGCCATCCTTCCATCGGTAGTTGTAGTGAGTATCGTCCACAATGAAACCCCGACCCTTATCCCCAAAGAGGATCTTTTGGCCCATAATGTTCATGATTTGAGAGCAAAGTCCACTGCCTTGTACCAAGCAAACATTGGTCATCTTATTCCCCAAAATGTAGTCGACGTAGTTGACTTGTGGAGGTGTTGTTGTGGTGGTGGCTTCGATCGCGGCATCTTCCTCGCTGAATGTGGATGAGCTCAAGTTGTCGACTGCTGTTCCAGCAGTAGGCTCTTCCATTCCTGCCTCATCAAAGTCCTTGACTTTTTCCACACCCCCACAAGGACCAGTTCGCACCAGATTGACGTACAGCACGACTACAGCAATACAGACATTGAGAAACACCAACAAAAGGTACCTCGTGGTACAGAGCCCAGCAGACGCAGAAGGAGATTTCTGTGGTGAACCCTCCTCCGTGTCCTTGATTGTCATGGGTAGCTCGGCGGTCAGAGGCACGATTTCCCCGTGGTCTTCTGGTTGCAAACACATGGTCTTGTTTGTTGTTTTTAAAAGTAGTACAGTAGTTCTTTCTTGCAAATTAATTGTGTGAGAACAAATACATTCGGAACCTCACAATCGACCGATTGACCGAGCTGCAAACGACCAATTTTGTTTGAACCTTGCGGGGTAGCATGGTAAAAGCATCACTGGCTCACTGGCACAAGCATGATCGAATAAAATTCCGCAAGGTCGAGTCACAGGTCACAGATAGAGCAAAAAGCCCGTCGTGACTAATTTTATTTAACCACTGGCTTTTTTGTTCTTGATCGGACATTGGACATTGCTTTCTTTAACTGTGAAAACTCAGTACTACCACGTGCCGTATTGAACAGGTCAACATGAAGCATCTCAAAAAGCTGCTCTGCTGTTTTCCTTCTCTGTTGGTGTTTGTTATCCTGTTTGTGCCGGTGGTGGCTACCAGTACAGACGCGATTCTCACCGGCACCGTCCCTTTCTTTCTCTTATCCTACCGGTACTACCCATTAGGGTACGTACCATCTCCTGCGTACTGATGATGTCACGGAAGATACTTGAATATGCAGTATCAATAGCAAGCAGGGGATCCCTCATCAAGATTTCCGGTAGTAGTAGATACAGGTGCTGCAGACTTTTCTCGGCTTCTTCTAAAGATGTGACGTCAATAAAGAGTCTCTTTCTTCATGTTGGGCCAAGTGGAGATTGCTGGACCGGATCGTCTATATTCGCAGCCAAGCATTTACAGCCAGATTACGTCAAGAGCATTCCGCTGCATCCACCGTTCAATGACATTTGTCCCGACACGCTCATTGAAGTGCTGGAAGAGAATGCTTCATTGGCACACGAGCTATACGATACGGCTGCCTTTTCTTCAGACGTATTGCAGCGGGTGCGACAAGTCATGGAGGAAAACAACATTGCCAGTGACAAGGAGCCATGATTTGCAATTTGCAAGCACGTCTAATTCTGTGTACAGACAAAAAGGCTACTAGCTAGACTATTATAACCGTTCCAAGCTAGCTAACTATCGGTTTCCTTTACGGGGCCTTGCAATGAGTCGATGGCTACATTGGATTGTTTCAGAGTCTTTAACTAATGCCCCATAGGCTACCGTGCGTACATAGCTATCTTAGCAACCATCGACACGCATACCTCTCATAGAGCAACCAGCCAGGGATTGCGTTCACTCTTCTCCATCATCACACCTTTGCCTTTTTGAGCGCATCCCATGGGAAAATAATAGGATCTTTGGTCGGATCGTAAAGTGGCCTCTTCCGACGAGGAGTCGCACTTTGCTGGGATGATTGCGGGTTGGGTGTTACGTGCTGCGTAGTCATTCGTCGAACAGGTTGCTTGGCTTTCTTTTCGTCCTCCGAGGAGGAATCATCGTCCGAGCTACTACTGGAAGAGGAATCGTCGTCCGAGCTGCTGCTGCTGGACGAAGAGCTGCTGCTGGACGAGGACGACGAAGAGCTGCCACTAGAGCTGCTTTCGTCCGACGAAGAGTCGTCGTCATCATCATCTTCGGGGTCGCCGCCGACACCTTCCTTTTCTTCTCTTACGGATCCTTTCTTGGCTTTCGGAGGGCCGACTTTCTTGGACTCTTCTGCTACGGGTTTGGACTCCTTGCTGCTACCAGTCTTCGTCTCCTTCTGCGACGTGCCCTTATCTTTGTCCTTCCTATTCAACGCGCTCTTCGGATCTGGCTTGGATTTACTCGTGTCGGTTGCACCTTTATCGTCCTTGGCCTGAGAATTGGATTTCTTCAGGTCCGTCGCACCTCCTTTGTCCTCAGCCTGATGATTGTCATCTGATTTCTTCTTGGACTGTTTGGGTGCTACTGCCTTCTTCGAATCAACAACTTCCTTCAAGTGTTCGGACTCGACCGAGGATTGAGATATCTTAGCCGGTGACGGTGGGTTCCTTTTCTTCTTGGGCTCGCCACTATCGCTTTCGTCTTCGCTATCCGTAGTCGATGATGATGACGATGACGAAGAATCACTCTTGCCTGCAGTGCCCATACGGGTGCTAGAGCCACTAGATACATTCGAGTGGGATCTCTTGCGCTGCAAATTCCGATCATTGGTGCTGTCTTGCTTGTCCTTGTCAGACTTGTCCCTTGTGTCGGTCTTTCCAGTTTCGATGGGCTTGCCTGTCTTTTTGCTCTTTGTCTTCACGGCATCCTCGCCCATGCTGTTGTTGGCTTCTTCTGACAATTCCAATTCTTTCAAGTCCCTGGGACCCTTCACACTCGACACCGCCGTCGATGAAGAGGCGCTCATTTCATCTAAACGTTCCCTCCTGCTCCTGCTTGCATCCACATGCTTTTTAGGCGAGGAGGGGGTCTTTTTCGATATGTTGTTGCCACCCTCTGAGGACGCATTCTTGTTTTGCGCAGGGGCCTCCATGGTCTTGTTGCGATCAGTGGAACTCCCCAAAGCAGCAGTGGTCTTTCTTGTGCGGGATTCTTCCGCGCTCTGTTGTTCCTTCGAAGCTGCTGAGTCAGCCGAGTTCTTACGATCTTTTAATGATGCAGAAGCATCAGTGGTCCTGTTTTGGGGGTCTGCTCCCAATTTCTGGCGATCTTTGGAACTTGCAGAGGGAGATGTGGTACTGCTTGGGGGTGCACGGTTCAAGTTGTTTTGGTGGTCATCTTTTGACGCTGCAGCGACTTCAGCGACGCCCTTGGTGGCATCGTTCACACTCTTGCGATCATTATTCTTTGTCGAGGCATCCTTTTTACCTTTTACGGGACCTTCTTTTATTTTCTTGCCGTTCTTTTTCTTTCCCGAGCCACTTCTGCTGCTGCTTCCCGAGCCGTCACTCGATGTCGAAGTGCTGTTGCTACTACTGCTGCTGCTGGACTTTGCACTTGCAGCGTCATCATCACCTTTCTCCTGGTGCGTCTTCTCTTTTGCTTCCGTTTTTCTGGTCGATTCTTTGGCAGGTGCTGCATTTGACGGCGCCGTGGAACACTCCTTGGAGTCGGAAGAAGCTCCGGCCCGCTGGGGTTGCACCGGTGGTTTGTCGTTGTTGACGTCAGTAGTGGTTGATATCCAATGCTCGTCAGTAGTGAATTCGTCCTCATGCTGCAGTGGAACCTCGATTACAGAAACAGGAGGGCCGGGAGAATCCTCCTTATCTCGTCTCCGCTTCTTGGCGGGTGTCTCCGAAACGTCAGTGGTGGGTTGTAGCGATTCGCTTTGTTTTGAAACAGGTTTCTTGGTGTCCTCTTCTTCCTCTTGAACACCACTTTTCTCGACGTGTTTGTTGCTGCTTTCGGCAATTGCATCAGACTCTTCTTCCTCGGGATCCTCCTGAGTTATTGGGATTGAATCCGCTGGTTTGTGCTTTTCTGTGTTCTTAGGCTCCGGACTTTTCTTGTCCGTGGGATTGTCATCCTTCTTGTCTTTTTCTTGATTGCCCTTCTCTTTCTTCCTCTTTCCGAGTTCCTTATCCTTCGGTTCCATTCGTGTCTTCTCTGTTTCATCCTCTGGGTCTGTTCGATCCTTCTTGGATTCCTTCTCTGCCTTGTTCTTCTGTTCAGCCGTCTCCTTTTTCTTTGGGTCCTTCTTTGTACGTCCATCCTTTTTGTCCTCCTTGGAAATTTGTACTTTTTCTTTGGTAGGTTTGTCTAGCTTGGTTCGTTTGGAAGGCGGTTGGTTTGTCGTATTCTCGGCGTCATCCTCCTCTTCGGCTGCTTTCCGCTTCTTTGGTTTCACTTCCTTGAATACAGGCTTGAGAGACTCCAACGAAATGTTCGTGTGGTTGGATATGGAGGAAACTTCTTTGGCTCTGCTCTCCTTTTCATCGTCTTCTTTGGCTTTTTTCTTGGTCTTTGTTGCTGTTTTACTAGTAGGTGTGGGCTTCTTTCCTAGATCATCCGACGTCTTGGGGCTTTTGCCTTGTTTTTGTTTTTGCTCCTCTTCCCATAACTCTCGTCGTTCGCGTCGAGACAGAGTCTTCTTGGGTTGTTCTGGCGATTTTTGTTGTTCCTGCTGCTGTGCTTTGGATGCTGCAGATTGTTTCTTCGGCTCTTGTTCCTCCTTGTTGTTGCTAGCGTTGTCTAGTTTCCGTTTTGCCACATCCTTGCCATTATGGTTGGATACGGAAACTACCCGGCCTTGTATCCGATCGGGTGGTGGGATATGAATACAGGGTAGCTTGTCATAATCCAAATCGAATGGCTCTGGATACCGTTGATTTTTGACCAAGAGGGTAATTTCTTCCATTTCCTCTGGCAACAAATCCACCATGGTATCTGGAGCCGCCCAAATGGCGTTTGGTTGAGATGTGGCGGCGACACAAACATGAAAGATTCTGGGTTTTTGCTTTTTGCTACGTTTCATGGCGACTTGTTCTGTCGAGACGAGGAAACTGTAGTTGGGTCCCGTTCGAATGGCAAACTTGGTACAGTCGGGAGCATGGCGCTGGTGAAACGCTCGCCAACACTCCGAAGGACTTTGTTCCAGCAAGAAATTGTGGAGAAACTCTTCTACCGATTCATCCGGTGGAATGACTTTGCGATAGCGAAGCGACTGTTCCTTGTTGCCATTGTCATTATTGCTTTGTCTCAATACTTCCCAGGGGAGTACCAGGGAGACCACCACGGGTGCTTTTTGGTTCAGAACAATAGAAGGAGAACCAAAGGGAAATACGAATGGTGATGGCCAAGATAAACTGTGTCTATCCCAGTCTGGCTCCTGATCATCTTCTTCCTCCTCTTCTTCCTGACGCCGTTTTCGGAGGGACATGGTGGAGGTAAACGTGCTTATACTTTTATTCTATGTCGGGGTGAAGGCAATAGTTAGTTGGAGATGGCCTTTGTCAGTTGACCGTCTCCAAAGAAAGATCCGTGGGAAATGAATGGTGAAGAGCCCGCCTTTTGTCGGATCTTTGAAGGCAGCTAGCAGAGCTGCTGGTACTGTATCAGTCGTAGCAACAAAGTTCAAAAAGCCTGGGCCAAAGGCACCTTGCCCTTTTTGCTGTTTTTAAACCCCTCCACACAAAGTGGACTACCACAGGGCCCATCATTTACTGGACCTCCAGGAGGACGTCACCTGGCCCTGCTCAAGGGCTAACGCCAGCACTGGGGTCTACACATAACCCAACACCAGGACCACCAAATGGCGCCACCCCAGGAACCACCATCCCTCGCATAAACCAGGCTCCACACACAACCCAACCGCCCATCACCAGGACCACCACATGGTGCTAGTAAGTTCAGCATGCTTCCAAAAGGCTGTAACTATGTTTATCATTATCACTTGAGCAGATGCCGTTGGGGTGTTGACATCATTGGCTCTCTGCAGATTTTAGTCATCATGTTTGACCAAGTCCATGCAGACACCCCCCGCCAAAATGAGCTGCAAATCCTCTCCTACATCGATCCTACGGTAGCACGATAGGTATTTGCGTTTCTCAACTCTTGCCTTTCCATCTTCACCACTTCCTTGTCACGGCGGACAAATCGGTAAGTGTCCTTTTTCTCGTTGGTTTGGAGACCACGTATTCGGCACCAAGGCCCGGAACCTCCATCGAGTACATGCCGGTTTGGTACATGCCCAGGTCCTTTTTGAATCGGGCGACCTGCTGATCATTTCGAAAAATTTTCAAGTACGTTTTCGAGCCCTTGGTTTGTTGCTTGACTCTCACCAGCATTTCGCCCTGAGGATTGCAAATGGCCAAATGATCCCTCCAACCACTCACCGTGTGGACCTAGTACCAATCGGCACTGTCCTGAACATTCACAATTTTGACTCCATTTTCCCAAAGAGTCTCTTGGATCACGTACACGTGTAGGTGACATGCTTTAAGCCCGACTGGGGTTTGGGCACAATGGATGTTGCGAGGGAGACGCGTAGACTTCCTGTGACATTTTTGCAGTAGAACCTGCTTGCAGTATCGCCTGGTTCTAGTGGCAACCACTGTTCCCCGGTGCTGCTGGAAGGAAGCCCCTTCATGCTCACTGGAATGGTCACAGTACCCATAGGGTCGTCATCAGTCATGCTATCCTTGTCCATGACGCGCAACAGAAGGGTTGGTTCCTCTGTAATAGCACGTGCGTCCGGAAAAGACCGATTCGTGAACAAGGTAAAGGTTTCGTTCCACTTGGGCTCCAAAGTTCTTGCTTGGACTTGGCTTCTCCCGACCTGCTTGCCGTCCAAGTAGATCAAAACAAAAGGATCCGACGTCGTCTTGGGTCCAACTACCTTCAATGCGCGATCCTTGGGAACCAGATCCTTCCCTTCAATGACGGTCAAGACAAGTTGCAATTCAAGCGGGGACATGTTTGTTGATTGTCTCTTTCTAAGAAGTCAGATTGCTTTCGTTATCAATACTTTGTTGAACTGGACTGCTTTCAGATTTCAGGGCAAGGTTGAGAAATGGTATCAAACCAGACTGGAACGGTACCGGTGGTACAAGATCCAATTCCCCCTTTTAACCGGAACTGTGGAGCCTTGCTGGATCATTGTGGTAAGATATTGTGCTGATACCGTACCTTTCCACTGAACCATGATTGATCCACGGCTGATTGGATGCTTACCGGTACTGCAGGCTCCAGCGGCATTGCTTTTGATCGTTCCACAAAAACGTGCGTGGTTGTTGCTCAACCCTAACACTATTTGACCAACGGAGAGGAAGGGTTCAACATGACGGTCGCTCTGCATGTTATCGTCATCTTCGAGGGGGTTTAGAGTGCCTTTGGGTCTTGCTGCTTGGAGCCATGAGCCATGGCGCCATGGCAAGAGTGACAATGGAGGTGCCCATCCTCGTATCCAAGAGGTAAGGTTTCTTTTTGCAATGCTGGGGTGGGAGGATGCCAATACAGCTCAAAGTTGCTTGCTTGGGGACAACGGGACAACAAGGCATCAAAGTGATCTCAAGCACTGCCTGGCTGGAGATGCGCAGCAACCATCATACCGGTATCGATCAAGAGCGAGGTGAAGGTTCTCTTTACCTTGCTGCCTCGGGGTCCTCGGTTGCTACTACATGCAGTGTGCCGTGGAGTAAAGAACCTAGGATCAAGCAGTCACCTGGGGGCAAGGGCAAGGGAAAGTGATCCGCCACTGGAGGTGCGTGCGCAACCATCCTCATAGTCCTGGTAGCAAGATCCAAGTAAGTGATCCAGTTGGCGTGGGTTTCTTTTTACCGTTCGGTGCTCGTTGAACCGGTGTCCGTGTACATGTGTGCAGCTAGTCTATTTTTTGCGCTTCATGGTGGCTGCATGCCTCAAGGACGGAGGGGGTTTCTATTGACACATTGGCGCTGGCTGGTAATGGCATCAAGAGCCATCACGGAAATGACCAGTAGTATCCTCTGATTCTACATCCCTGCTGATCCCCTTCCTTGTTCTACCCTGGTATCCGACAGACATGCTACCCCAGTCAAGGAAGAAAACTGGCTTCACCGTTGATTCTTTCCAGTAGAAACGCAGGAGCTATGAAGCTACCAGTACCATTCACCAGCGAGATACACTAAGGTGCATTGGAGGAGATCTGGCTGGGGTCTAGCTAAACCAGGACACCCATAATGATAAGAAGCGCAGTCCCACGCGATGCTCCCCAAGACAGTTTCCACCTACAGCAGGATTTGCATTGGGCGCTCTGCCAGTTTCTAAGGCTAAACTCCAAACTCCGAGGGCAGCACTTAGTCTACACTTTCAGCTACTGATCTGATCTTTTGCAAGCCCATCGGTCGGTTCTCTAAAAGAGCGTCGTGTCATCACCCAATGATGCACTTTTGACGCGAAGTTGGGGGAGTCATAGTCATTCCATCAAGTTTCAAGTGTCTAAGTAAAATCCAAGGACAATTTGCTCCAAGCGACTCATATGTCCGAACAAGACATTATATTATTATATTATTATCAATTTTGTGGTCTTTCAACAGACTGAAGAATGATGCAATAAAATAATGAGCATTAAGGGGTCCCAAGATCTTAAAACGTTGCTTGACATCAGAAGCTCCTCATCGACTGTAAAGGTTTAAAGGTGTTACGATCACCGAATGAAGGTCATAATATTAATTGATTAATTGTGCTTAATTTATTACAATGACTTGGTTTACGGAAGCTTTAAAAAAGCTAGCTACCGGTACCGGTACTCGGTACTCGGCTACATGTTCCAGCAGTGCATGTATGTACATGTACTCATGTACGCTACTTGAGTAGACTGGTACCGGTACAATGGTAAAGCAAAGCTGTCACAATGGCGTCATTAATTTATTTTTCATTTTCATCAAGCGGCGACAACAGCTGCGACAATGCTTCTTTAGAAAGGAGACAACAAAGTAAAGTGAGCATCGCAATACCGGTAGCTGAGCAAATACGTGAGGCCAGAAAGCGGCTTCAGTTGATAAAACATTGTTCAATATCCTGTTAATCGAACGGTCATGCCTTCTTTTCTGAAGGCTTAATGAACATCCAAGGGCCCCCTGAAACTCCAGAAAATAGGTTGAAAATGAAAGAACGCTCAATCATGGAAATGAAAATGTCTTGCCCCAGCGTCTGATTGTCTGATTGGTTCTGCCAGTGGCAAACTTTAGAACTTACAAAAGCAATATTGCAATATTGCTCAAACCTTGGTCACACCGCATTGACGGCATTTCGATATTTCGACCCTACTCAGTACATGTAGACTAGTCTACTTGGCCAGCCGCATCCACAGTCGTACCGGTATCTTTCAGCTAACTTTCAGTTTCCTCGCATTCATTTTCGCCTCTCCTCCACAACAGTTTGCAGTCATAAATTTTCCACTTGGTCGTTTTTCGCTCCTCCATCTCTCACTTCTCTCCCAAGATCGCTCCATCCATCAGCCAAGATGTCATACTACGACGATGAACTACGCGACCCTGTGAAACCTATCGTTGCCATTATCGGGGCAGGTGTGGCAGGAGTTGCTGCTGCTGGAGCCCTTCAGGACTACGGCCTGGACTTTGTGGTGTTTGACAAGAACAGCCGGCCAGGAGGTCTCTGGGCAGACAACTATCCCGGTGCCAAAGGTAAGCAGAGTCTTTCCCATCTTATCTCGTCATCATGCGACTTGCCATTGAGCTTATCAACTAACTAACCCATTGCCCCCCCCCACTCAGTCCAATCCACCACGGAGCTCTACGAGTACCCTAGCAAACGATTCCCCGCCTCGATCCGCAATCGCAGTGACCCACCTGCCCCGACAGCGGACGAAGTATGCACGTATCTTGAAGAATACATTCACGAGAAGAACATGGCCTCCAAGTTCCGCTTCAACAGCACCGTCTCGGATGTCTTGTGCACATCGGAAGACAACTGGATTGTGGAGTTTGATGGCCTCAACACCATGCGCTTCACCTTTGTGATTGTCTGCAATGGACTGGTGTCTTCCAAGCCCAACCACATTATGATTGAGGGCATGGAGTCCTTCCGAAATAATGGTGGCAAGATCATCCATACATCGGAACGACGAGAAGACCTGAACCTAGAAGGCAAGCGTGTCCTGGTGATTGGCAATGGCAAGAGTGCAGTCGATGCTGCCACCGCGGCTGCTCAAGCTGCCACGGCCAGTGGCACCCTCCCTCCCATTCAAGTAGCACGACGCCAGACGTGGTATGTCCCCAGGTATCTCTTGGGAGTTCTTCAGTACAAGTGGGCCTTCCACACAAGGATTGGATCGGCCTTGTTGCCGCGATACTACGAAACCACCAATCCAATCCTCAAGCTTTTACACTTTATATTTACGCCCGTCAAGTGGCTTCTCTGGCGACTGGTGGAACTTCTCTTGTTGTTGCAATTCCGATTGCCCTACCGTTTGTGGCCCAAGCTTGGAACTGTCGAAAACGCTGCCTTGGAAACATCCGTCCTCATCACCGATGAAGAACACTTGGTCCGTCTCCGCAAGGGAGTCATTGACATGAGGATTGGGACAGTCCAACGGCTGGAACCCAACAAGGCAATCATGTCTGATGGAAGGGAGGAACAGGTCGATGTCATTATTCTGGGCACTGGTTGGAAGCTCAGCTACGATCAGTTCATGCACAGCGACAGTATCTTTGCAGGGCTCGGCTTTTCGAAGGACGGCCTTGATTTTTGCAATGATGGACTATGGCTCTACCGCAACATTCTACCGGCTGGATTCAAGGGCATGGCCTTTGTGGGGGCCAACACTTTGACCTTTATGAATATCTTTACGGCATACATCCAAGCCTATTGGCTGGCACAACTGTTGGCGGGGGAACGTCCCTGGCCGGAGGAAGCTCACATGAAAGAGACCGTGGAGCGTGAAAAGGAGTACAAGCGTGGGCTCTACAAGGCTAGTGAAATGCGTGGGGCGTCGGTGGAGGCGTACATGCAACACTATCACGACGTGCTCTTCAAGGAGATGAATGCCCGCAAACCCTACAACTGCCTCATCCGACCACTTGCGGATCTCGTGATGCCTGTCCTGCCCAGTACGATGCAGGGCTGTTTGGAGCCGCTGGATGCCCTAGAGAATGGAGTACACACAACATCATCTTCGGATGATAGCAGCAACAGCCGCTTCAATCTGAATTTTCAAGATGAGATTGTACTTCCAAATTGCAAAACTGTGTGCACAGTTTAGTTGGCTGATGTCCTGGCGGTTCCAGGGTCGAGTTTTGTGAGGGTAATCCATGCGCGCACCAAAATGCAGCTATGGGTGCCGTGGATGTAGCAGGGTCCAATTGCTATGAGGCAGTTTTGTCTGCAGACTGTAGCTAACGTAATAATAAAATGCATTTGTACATCTATCGTACTTTTGACAAGCTACCTACTAGAATGAGCGGCACGATAGAGCATGTCAATCTACCATAGATGATTTTGCCAGTGGGATGAACTCCACAAGGACCCGCCCGTGTGGCCAAGAGGCAAACCATGGTCAACTCAACAAACTTAGTTTTTAACATGTTGTTGATGCACTCGCATCCTTTCAGAGCACATGAGGATTGTATCGGTGCCCCCGCCGCAGAGGAGGCCACTCCCAATTGCCAATGGCTGCAGGGTAAATACCAAGCATGCTTGGTTGTTGCTGTGCGTGTCAATCCTCGCGTATCCATCTCTTCGAGACCGACCAAACGTCTCAAACCACCCATGTTCGATTCAGCCTTGCTCTTCTGTTTCTTTTCCAATCGTTTAATATTGTTTCGTGCTATGATCACCTGTTCCGCATCATCGACTACTGCATATAGTTCAAACACAGCATCAGCAGAACGGTCGTGCCACAGGGCATTCCATGCACACACCAACATGCAGCTATCGGTGCCGTGGATGTAGACATGGTCCAATTGCTATGAGGCAGTTTGTCTGAAGGCTGTAGCTATCGTAATAATAAAATGAATTTGTACATAGATCGCACTATTGACAAGTAAGTTACCTACTAGTTTGAGCGGCACAATAGAGAATAGCAATCTAGTTGATCTGTCAGCGGGATTAACTCCACAAGAGCCGGGCAATGTCACCAAGGGCCAGACCATGGTCAACTCGATATACCCATTGCAAAAAGTATATTGTTTGATGTACTCGCGCTCGTTCAGAGCACAGGAGGCTTGAATTGGTGCTCCCACCACAGGGGAGGCCACTCGCAATTGCCAATGGCTGCAGGGTTAACCAAGCTTACTTTTGCTGTGCGTGTCAATCCTCACGTATCCATCATCTCTTCGAGACCGACCAAACGTCTCAAACCACCCATGTTCGATTCAGCATTGGGATTCTGTGCCTTCTCCAATCGTCTCCTCTTGTTTCGTGCTATGATCACCTGTTCCGCATCATCGACTACCGCATATAGTTCAAACACAGCGTCGGCGCTGCGGTCATGCCATAGGGCATGGGATGAATCCTTGTTGCAAAACTCTGAACCAGGATATGGATGGCTCGATCTGTCACCACCAGTGAAAAAGCCACGGTCTTCTGTGTTTGGCACACCATGCAGCAAGTAGGTCAAGAGATCAACCATTGGACTGCTTGCCGCTCCCAGGCTGGTGAGATTAAAGCACTCGCCTTCCAAACCAGACACAAAGGACAGTGTCCGTTCTTGAAAGACAAATGCCCAAAGCAATCCAGAGACAGCGCCAACAAGTTTCAAAAACACAGATATCCCCCCTTCAAAGGGACCCACTGGGAAGTCATCTCTCTCGGCAAGAAGCTTGAGTTCTGGCATGTACTCGTTTATCATAAAATCTTCTTCTGCTGCACGAAGGAATTCAGGGGCAAGCACATCATTCACCAGTGTCTCACAAAGGGAGAATGGTAATAACGTCATACAGCCAAATGCAATCAATGCCACAGCAACGATTCGATATCGTCGAACCAGCTGCAGGCTGTTGATGTAGGAGATCCATTCTGGTACACTGAAATTTAGTGGCATGTTGGCAAGATCGCGTGCCAGCTCTGTGAACGGTGTTGGCTGCAGATTGTTGGAAACCGTCAAGAGGACTTGGGAGGATGCGCTTGTACTTCGTATTGCAATTTGATAGGCAGCGGTTATGAGGAGAGCCACCGAACTAGTATCAAAGCGTGAACCGACACTTGTTTCGCTTCCGTGTGCCCATGCCGATCCTGTCCCTGCGGCCACAAAAGTTTGCATCATGCCAATTCGATCTTCCACGGGCACCTTCCATGTCTTAAAGTCGCACACGCGGACAGCCGATCTGTAATAAGCCACATTCGAAACAAAATTGCATCTTTGGCGCACTTCATAGGGTCTGTAAGGGTCCCCCATGAAAGCGGTCTTGTTTTGGACTTGTTCAAGCCATTGGCTTCCCTGAGTAGACGGCTCTCCCCATGGATCACTCAGCGTCCCACCTGTGAAGTAATAGTTGACAAACTCACGCCATGCAACGTCTTGAGCTTCTTCCAAACGCTCTACTCCCCACTTATTCATGCAGGTTGAAAACTCTTCGTATAAAGAGTCAGGGTAGTTGGTGTGCTCAAAGTACTGAGACATGTCATCCAAAACCTGTCTGGTCTCACCCAGACCACTGACCGTGGTGGATAGCAGTGCAAGAATGGTAACTGATAAAATCTTCATCGTTGTCAGCTACGGTACGATACTATGCTCGAGTTCACCAAGTATATGAAAAGTGGCCGCAACTCAGATGACATTCTGAAGCTCATTCTGGGCACTTGTACTTTGTTTTTGCCGTACACCACCCTCAATGCGCACCCCCTCTACAAACAAACCAACGTGACTACGTCACGGGTTTGTGGAGGAAGAAAGTTACTCCATGTGCACTCCTAATCACCAAACATGTTTATTGAATTAGCTCTAATTATGGTAGTAAGTGTTTCTGTAATTAATTTACAGTAACGCTCTTCAGTAAACCATTCAACAAAGCTTCCATCTATCCCTTGTGTGTAAGAAGTCTGATAATGAGATGATGGCATCTAACCTTGGCTAGTAGCTAATATAGTACATCATTTAGTTTTGCCTCAAAGCATTGAGACAGCTATTGAGACAATCCTAGACTATTAATTTTGCTAGTTTCCAGGGCTCAGACAGAGTGGTACCATTTCCGTCCATAGTGCCGGTACCGTATCAACAAAACACAGGTTACGGCTAGGATGGTGCGGCTCTGTTTACTCTTCCTTGTTTTTCTTCACTCTTTCATCTCCATGAGACTCATGATCGTACTCATTTTGATGTTTTAGGTAGGAGTACTGGTATCAGGGACAGTAGGTTTCATTGCAAGTGTTGATTATCACTGCTGGCAACTATCAGGATCAACCATTCTACCGCAATGTTTGCGCAGGTTGCTGCGTGTATCCCTACGATATTAATCTCTTACAATCAAGGTAGAAATGCAAAAGATACTCACACGCCATTTTGTGAGTGCAGAAATGAGATTACGGAAGTGTGCTTGTCTGTGCCGGTATGTACGTACCGTATCTTCCTTTCCGAGCTCACGATGGCGTCAACACAGAGGCCCGAGGTGCGAAGCAGCATGGCTCCACCAAGAGCTGCTGAGGTGCGTGGATACGGTGTGGTGGTACGGTACCAGGTACCGGTACGAACATCGTACTACAATTTGTGATTACGAGGCCCCGGCCCATCCAAGTACGGTACGGTATGGCGAAGCCCTTATCATCAGAAGACTGCTGCTCACAATCTGCCATGGCCGGGAAAGGAAAGATAACCGAATCCTTACCCATTGCCTCCTTTTTTGGAGCGTTCCCAACATGCATAACGAGCTCAGTTCTGAACTTCAAACAAAGCAAGGCCAATAAGCAAGCAAGCAAGCACCAATCTGGCGCCTCTAGCTACCACCAGCTTTGGTCCTGTTCCTAGTTAGTAGCTGAGTGGCGAGGGTGATTTAGTTTGTTCGTGCTAGTTTGAGAACTTGAAATGGACTGTCACTCTGGCTCTCTCTACTTGCATGAACGCATGAACTGGGCGTAGTTACTCGCAGAAGAATGAAATGGTTTCTCACCCCACGTTCGCTTCGACCTTCAACAAGGGACATAATCATGCACTCTCACACACTAGCTACTCGTAGGCAGGCGCCCATCCAGCATGTCCTGCTCATAGGGCCTGCTAGTGGGTTGGCTGCCATCTAGGTTGCCATCGTGACCGGTGAGGAATCTGGAGGTGCAGCCGGCCTCCAACAACTTGCTCGGACCACGAGCGAGCCAATAGAAGCCAACAAGTCAAGACAGCGATGCGTTGATCCATCAGGTTCTAACCAGGTTGGGGGTCCCAGAAGACTGTACTGGCAGCAGGAAACTCTATGCAAAACAACCAACATACACTGGGCAACAGCAACAAACCTAGTCAAAGTAACAATGCATGGCCACTGTTGGGCTGCTGTGGCGCTTTGTCATCCCCACAAAACAATTGATCATTCTCCTTGAATACCGAACTTCTTTCATCTTTATCTCTTCGAAAACCAATTGAAAGAGTCTTTTTGCTAACGCATGGGGCCTCCTTGGATCTAGAGGAAGAAACTCAAAAAGTTACGGAGTGAAAAAGAAACAATGACTCATTAAAGAGATCAATTGTCAGATCTTCCGGAATCCTTTCCTGAACTCAAAACGAATCATTCGTTTTGTCAAGTTAAGTTATCTTTTTCTCGTATATCTTTGACAATTCCTCTGTAATTTGTGAAAGTTCATTGGGACGAATGAAGTACTGCTTTCTTCACAGTACGGTGGTCCGATGCCTCATGAATTTTGGTTGGGAAACCACTCACATCATTGGTTTGTTGTGCCTGGTAGAACCAAGCAAGGACGAGTTTGGCGCTGTTGTTGCTGTGTTGGTTATGGCAAGGTTGCTGTATGTTGTTCTTGTTGACACAGTTGGTTCCAGAAGCTACAATAATAGTCTTTACTAGCTAGGATTGTGTTCGTGTGAACGTTGCTCTGTTCCTGGGAGGGAACGAGTGGCAACTCACCTTTGTGAGGAACACTCCAAAAAGGAAAGGAAACGCAATAGACGGACTGTGTGTGGAAGGGGCTGGGCGTTCTCCTCTCATTCATTGATGACTGGCGGACTGATTAACTGATCAATCAAAAAGAAAGAGAGAACAATGACACAACCAACCAAAAGAAGAATACTATCCTTCTTCCTCGTGGTGGCACTGTTTGGGTCACAACAACATCATTTTGCAAATGCTTCCATGATTCGAGGACCCAAAAGCAGCAAGAATGACGAAGTGCAAGTGGAAGACTATATAGTGATGCAAATGGAAATGGCATGGGGGATGAAAGAAATGAGTCGCTACATGACACATCGAGGTCAATGGCCGACCCGATCGTCTTCGGCGTCATTTGATTCGGATGAAGAAGAAGGAGAAGACGATGACTTGTTGGCCATCATTCAAGCGAGAAATGAAGCCAAGGAAGCAGCCGCCAAAGCAAGACAAGAGGAAATGGCAGCACGGCAAAAACAACAACAAGAACAACAACAACCAAAAGAACAACAACAAGAGCAAGATGGATCCAGACTGCGAAGGCACAACCAAAGTGAAATTGAAGAGGATCAAGGATTTCATACTACTGGTAGTAGTGTTGATGATGAAGATGGGTGGCTCATAGACGAGGAAATGGAGCTGATACTGGAGGCAAGAGCTGCTGCCAGGACAGTAGAGGAATACTGGGATACACTGGTGACCATGTTTTAACTCTTTTAATGGTTCATGGGTACCAACTGGTTCTGGACTTGCTAGAGGTAGCAATTCCGGGCAAGCACCATCACTTCCTTATCCCATCAAACAACCAACCTTTCAGACGATGCCACCATCTTCTTCTTTTGCACAACTTCTATCTTAATAATTTTAATTAACTAACTACGTGTTTCTTAACTGTCATATTTTTGGCCAGGACCGACGGGCCAGCAAGCAACGGTCGCAATCGCAACCGTGGCTTCATGGTATTGTATAGAATAGACACTATAGAGTCTCAGGCAAGCATGTAACTGAAGGTCTGCTGTCTCCTACCGGTATACGGTGACGTCGAAGGATCCAATGTCCACACAGCTCTCGTCACAGTCAAACTTGCCACAGAGTTGCGTTCACTTCACGACGTTGCAAGGAGTCAGCCATCTGCCCGATAATGCCTGCCTTGAACAGATTTGCCAACCATCAAAGACAAGTCAAGCACAACCACAGCACTGGTAGAGGCAGTCCATTGGAACGGTACCTGTCGCTTTGATTCACTTGCTTGCTTCGCTCAGCGGGACTAGTACCAGTAGGAAGAAGGGATGTGCACCTCAGGCATTGGACCGAAGCTCCCGTTCAATACGCATATCCATGGAGTGCTGAATTGAGAACAGCCAGGGATCCAGTCCGATACCAAGCCAATTTGGGGGTCCGTGCGTGTCCTTGGCCAACTGGCCGTCCATGTACCTGTCCTGCATAAAGCTTGACTCGACTCGTCACAGTTTGCATTCAATTCTTTCAAACTGCCAGACCAGCAATGCCAGGATGCTCGGCCAAAGACCAGCACCAAAAGCTCCCTACAAGCTTCACAGGCAAGCAAAAGCATGTAATTAATCCTAGAACATGTATTTTAAATGTAAACCTTCTACCAGCTGCCCCTTTCCTCGAGATCAGCATTCGATTGACTGAACGTCTTCGTCTTCGAAAGGCGGCTCGTCCACCGTCTCTTCCGCCGTCTGTTCATCGGCATCTTCCTCCGTCTCTGCATCGACCTCAAAGAGTTCTTGCTCTAGTCGGAGCTCTTCCACCATTTCAGCAACGATATCTTGGCCGCGTTCCTTCCATTCGTCTCTGTTTTGCATAGCGTAGTTCAAACATTCATCACTGGAAACCCCAAACACCCTGCAATCCTTGAGTTTCTTCGCAAGGGGGATGATGTAATTGTCAAAGAAGCCAATCTCGCCTTTGTACCAAAATTCACTGGAGTTTTTGCAGACGTTGACCGGATGACATTCGTTGAGAGTCCGCATTGCAGGATCGATCACTCGGATTCCGTGTACGTACCTTGGATCTTTGCCCATGCGCCCTTGCCTGTACGCCAAGGACAACTCTTGAAAGAGGCGGCGGTTCCACTTGCGATAAATGTGCCAGTGTTGCATCTGAACGCAGCAAGCAGCAAGAAGAAGAAGTATAGTGAGGTTCACAAAGTTTGTGGCAGGGTCTGGCCAGTGGTCTTCGCTGTCTGGCTGACTTACTGTGTGCGACACATCGGAAGCTTGCATGATGTGCTCGATCTGCGATTTGAAAGGGTGAAGTGGTCAGAAGGAAGAGTTGGGAGATGAGAACACAGCCAGCTCCAGGAAGAACGTACCACAATGGTTGCACGGAGGTCATTGTTCTCTTCCTGCGACAGGGACTCATTAGAGAAGGCTTTGTCCCATCTGTTCTTACGGAGTCCATTCAATTCCTTATCGAAGATATCTGTTGCGAGCACAACGTTCACAAGGACCTGAAGGCAATGAAAGAAGCCAATGTACAATCAGAGATAAGTCTAGCGCAACGAGATGATAATGTATAGTTGCACATACCTGTCTGAAGCGTTTCATTTCAGACTCGGTCGTAAACAAACATCGACGAAGATCCTCGTAGTCATGGGACATCAGCAAATCCCATGCAAGATCCAAGGAGTTCTGAAGAGGTAAACGGATCAAGTCGGACGTCAGTGCGCTCACAAGGCATCTTCCACTGATTTGGCTCAGCCAAGCGAGAGGTTAACGTACCTGTTCCGCGATACTCTTGCCTCGATACTTGTCAGCCATTTGCTTCTCTTCTTCGGCCAAGCGAGTGTTTGACACACCACGGTGGTCTCTGGTTTCGCAAGGGGGTGGCGGTCTGTTAAATTGAGGGTTTCGATGGAAATCTTACACGAGTACAACGCGTGCTGTTGCACTACTTACGCATCATGGATCAACGCAGAGAAGACAATGGCAAGGAGCGTCAGTGGATCCGAGTTTACGCCGTGCGTGTAATCTATTCAGAGCAGGAAAGCACGGGAGGTTGAGGAACACAGAGAGAAAAACCAAGTTGGTACTAAGTGAGAGCACGCAAGCAGACATACCATGCATTTTGGCTGCCATGTCATCTTCATCTTCGGCCCCAACGTCAGCACAATTAATACGTTTCATGAACTTGTCCGTGGCCTGTCGCGATGGCCGAAAGTCAGAAAGACGATCAAGGAGACAATGGCGGATTCATTTTTAAGTCAACATGAGCACGTACCATCGTAACGTGTGCGGCGTGTTCTGAGAAAGTTCGAGAGAAACAAGGGAGCAGGTAGAGATGGTCAGTGCTGAGGATAGACGCACGAACAAGAGCATACAGTAAATGGTGGAATTACCGAAATTGTGAAATGGGTTGGGCAAGTAAAGTTCAGAGAGAGCGGTGACGTAGCGATGGAGCTGAGAGACCACGTCCTGGCCAAGAGCAACTTGACGCCAGTTCTTGTCCATTTGCCCAGAGAACTTAGGCAACTTGATGACCTCGGCAACCTCGTCCAGGCTCGTTTTGCCTTTCGGGAGGTTGTAACGGAGGGGTGCACTTGCTCCTGTTGGCCCTCTCGATGCAACGAGTTTCTTAAGGTGCTCTTTCAGGATCTCAACAATCCAGTTCACCAGCCGACCTTGTTTCAACGTATCGTTTTTGAGACCCAAGCGCTTCGAGCTTGTCAAAAACGATGCATCGAACGGATGAGACCCATTAGACCCGCTTTCCCGCGCAGGATTGTCCATAGGTCCAATGCTGCCATTCCTCGTGATACCGGTTGGGCGGACCCAGTACGCCATCAACACTCCTTTACCTTTTGCGTTTATCGCGTCGGTTCGAGCCGTAAGCCAGCGCGACTTGCCGGCCTGTACCAGGAGGTCATGGGTTGCTTGGGATGCTTGGATCATGCCTTTCTTCCCAGTACTGTAGTGTTTGAAGGAGGGAATGGAACGAGGTTAGCTGATGAAAACTTCACTGTTGCTGGTCTGCTGGTCTTGACTGGTTTGAAAGATTATGTTAGATGCGCACCTTTCCATCCGAGCCGCAGTGTTGACGGTGTCACTGAGGAGACGCAGGACAACCAGACACCATTGTGAGATTTCTGATATCGTGAATTGATGTAAACTTTCGTTTTGTGGAAGAAGGCACTCACCCGAACAACTGAAAGCGTGCCTTTGGCAACAGGGCATGCAGAAGGGTTAGTAAGCTTGGAATCAACAGTTTGTCAGACGCATAAAGAGCACCAAGCTTACCCTATCTCCACGCAACACACCAGCAGTGACAGGACCCTTTGGATGGATAAATGCGAGTAAGCAGTAGTTGTGAGTTCCCGCTCTGGGCCAGCAAACTGGCCAGCTTTTCCCTACTTACCGAGTGCATTCCAAATCGCATGGAAAGCTGTGATTGAACATTCGGTTGGGTGGTCAGCATTGCTTTCCAAAAGACAGGCTGGAGATGGAAACTTCAATGGGCAACTCACCTCTGCTGTATCAGGTCCCAGCCGACTCTCCAAACGCGGCATCAATTCATTCATCTTGCAATTGCACTCCTCCGCAAATCGAGCCATGATCACAGCATGCGCAGCTTGTGGTTCTGTGGATCATCGTTGTGTAGCACCTTGGTAAGTACAAGAATACAGCCTGGGAGTAAAAGCTCTCATGGTAGTGGGCAGCAATGAGACTTACCTGGGAGCCCGGTGACAGCTACATAACTATCGCCAATCTGAAGAAAGAGGCGACCGGCTAGCTCAGCAACATGCTACAAGCGGCTTCAAAAAGCTGGATTCCGAGCAAAGCTTACCGTTTCAACCTTAAAGACTTTCCTCCTCTTGGCCACCCGATCAAATGCCTGATAGACTGCAAGGTCCAAGGAAGACGAAAAGATGAGACGATAGAAAAGAAAAGGAACCAGACCAGACTTTGGATTTGGCCTCAGTTCAAACTTACCGGTCTGAAGCAAGATGAACACTTGTGCTGGATCGCGAGTTGAACTCCAAGCTGTGAAGCCCGAGATGTCAGCAAAAAGCACTGTACAGTGCGGGAACAGATCTGCAATTGGATCCATGTCCACATCGTCATCCTGGTCACCGTCAAGGTATCCCTTCAAGCGGCGGGTTGGTGCCAAGAAACCACTACTAGTTCTCTTCCCGTTGTTGCCTGAAGATGGCTGTTGTTCCATGAGCCGATCTCGGACTTGTTCTGGGAAAAGACTTGTTACAATGGCAGTGCTCTGCTCAGCTTTCATCAACACAAGGGCCTGGCGTCTCTCAACCAGACGATCGTAGAGAATGAACATCACAACTGTAAAGACAAAGATGGCTGCAACAGCAATTGTAAGGTAAATTGGCATGGAGGTTTGGTAGCTCTCTTCAAACTCTGAGGATGGGTAAATGTCCATGGTGATCAAGCAGTGGTCACTGTTTAGAGGAATGCCATACTTGGTTCCATCTGCAATGCTGTCAACCGAGGCAAAGCTGGCAGATCTTCTAAAAGAATCATAGGCAGGATCGTGGAGGTCCCCGGCACCGAGTGGCACGGCTTCCGGCCCATTGATCTCGTACGTGAAGTTTCCAGTGCAGGAGTTACCCAGAACAACGAGCACACCATCCATGCTTGACGGGAGCACGTCTTGAAAGTACGACAGCCAGTGCACCCAAGCAATCATGACAGCCACGGGCTTTCGGTTCTCGGTGAAGGAATCAAAGATGGGGAAAAAGACTTGGCTCATGGGATCTCCCTCATACTCCTTTAGATGTCCTGCTGCCACACTCATGAGAAGTGCAAACATTGCCGTGGCGTGATCATGCGAAGTGATGCCCCCCGGGCTTGTAGAGTGGAACATGCCAATGTTTACAGATTCCATGGCTAGGGTGTCCATTGCCGCCGTGTCGTTGAATGAATTCTGAGCCTCATCCAGGTTGACTTGGATTCCACCAAAAATGACCGGTGCGATTTGCCAGGTTGGAAGATACGCTGGAGCAGTGGGAGCGGGCATGAAACCGTGTGGTCCCCCGTACGTATAGATTGGAAGCAGTCCGAACCCACTGTCTATCAACCCGCCCAGTCTATCTCGGATACTCGCTTCGGCGAATGCAAACATCTCCATGTTTTCCTGGTACTGGACACCATCATAGCTAGTGCACACATGACACAAGAGGATAGAGTAAGGCAAGGCAAGGTTGGTCAAGTGAGGTCAGATGTCATCAAGTAGTAGTTATGTACCAAACCTGAGTACTTACATCCATTGAGAGGCGTTGCCGGCCGAGTAAGCTTCCCAATCAGGTCTCTGAGCATCGGTGACAAGCGGGTGAAGAAGGATAAAGATGGACCCAGATTGCTTTCTGGCTGTGGCTGCTCGTTGATGGAAGTTAGCGAAAGTCACAAGGGGCCATTGCTGAGCCTGATTAGCGACACTGGCTACCCCCAAGCTGGAAACAGCGCCAAGCTTGTTGGTGGCAATGTCCAGGAAGTTCTGTCTCAACAAGAACAAGATCAGGAGAGTGTGAGTCAGGATAAAGAGAAGGGTATCAAGGGTCATTGGCAAGAGCTGCTGCCACTTACCACTGTGAGTTTTTGGACGGCACTTTCGTACTGCGTCTTGAACTCGTCTTCTTCGCCACGGGAAGTGATAAGGTAGATGATCACACAGACAGTCACGGCCGCAAGAAACAAGACGAGAAAGACCAAAAGACGAAGGCGAAAGACAGCTTTGGTCTCTCGCTTGGCCAGCTCCATCTTTTCGCTGGCTGACTCGGATGAGGCGGTGTATCCCTCATCGGTCATTCGATCATCATCAAACGCATCAGTGTTTGTCCTCTCAACATCTTCCATCCCTTGTAGAGTTTTCTCCGTCAGCTTGGCTTGTTCCTGCGGAGGCATCATGGTGAAGGTTGTTCCAGTTTTAGTAGTATCGGTAGTAGGAAGTAAAGGCAGATAGAAAAGATGGAGGCTGGAGACTGAGTGACTGTCACTCGAAGCAACTTGAAGGGTTGATGAGGATGAAGGGAACTTTGATTTTGTGATAGTGGGAAGAGCCTCCGGTTCCGAATTTCCAAGGTTGCCGCAACTAAGAAGGTATGAAACTGCTGGTAGCTCTGCTGGTACAGGTACAGCATTCTGCGTGAATGCGTGAACTCTTCATGCCACAAAGCCGCCACGGCGGCTGTGTTTCCTATCGTCATCTGGCCGGCTGGAGCACAACAGCTGTGCTGTTAATTCCTCAGAGATAGAGGCACGGTAGTGAAAGGCAGGAAGATCGTACACTCCAAACTCGCATATAAGAAATCTCTAAATTCAGTGCGGCCCTGGGCCTTTCTTACCGTGCAGCACCATTTTTGACCCTCAGTTCCTTTCTAACAAAACAAGCCAATTTCAGCTTTGAAGACTTTCCTACTATGCTTCTGGGTCAAGCAGGTCAGTACTTGGATACACCCAATGAACCTGGGCCTTTTGGTTCAACTTGCTCAGGACTCATAAATTGGGTTGGATCAAATAGATATGGTGATCACTGTGTCTGCCGTGAGGCAGAAAATTTTGCAGATGTAAGCACAAGTTTGAAGCATTTTCATGGTGTCAGACTAGTAGTATTTCTTACACTTTGAGGTCTTAATACTGGGAAGCTTTCTTACAAGTCTGTGATATTTCAGCATCAAGATGTTCTTAACATTTTCTAGAATCTCAGGGCTCGCTTTCTTATGGTGGAGTTTCTTATATTCGAGTTTGGAGTGTATTGTCGACCTCAAGCGAATTAAGGGCGAAGTACAATGAAGGTTCATACGTTCATACCAGTAGAAGGACAAAATCCCTCTCTATGACTCTCTATGACACGCGACACGCGACAAGTAAGTGAACTATTCTTGTAGAGTCCTGCGATTCTTAGAGCACTTGCACTTTTAATTCTTTCCGAGGAGTGCGAATGGAGCGAGTGGACCAGAATACCAGAATGGTATGTTAGTAGTTCTGCTACATGTAGCTGTTCTGCTGTTTCTTTATCTGGACTAATGAAATACTGAAGGAGTACTGACTACAATGTCACGTATCGGTACACCGGTACTCGAGTACGTACTATTACATGTACATGTAATAGCTCTGGAAGGTCCCGCAAATAATGAAATAGTTTAATTATAATGAATTCTTGATTAATGTGTTTAATGGTGATGAATGGTGATGAATTCATCACCAGTTTGTTGAATGGTGATGAATGGTGATGAAAATGATTAATTCGTGATGACTGGTGATGAATCGTGATGAAAAATACTACTGTTTTACTATAGAGATAATGAATGGTGATGAATGGTGATGAAAATGATGAAACCGTGATGAAATGTGATGAATGGTGATGAATTCATCACCAATGTGTTGAATGGTGATGAATGGTGATGAAAATATTCAATTAGTGATGAATTCAATTCCAGATTTTCATGTTTCGCAGGACCTTCCTGAGTATTCTGAAAACACGGACTTGTTTCAGGATTTAATGATCTAAGATCATGGGCACTGAAATCTTGGTGTGCGGCAACCTGTGTTCCTCTGCACCGGCAACGGCACTGGTTGCAGCAGGGGCCGGCTACTGTACACTGAGTTTCAGATGCAAAGCGCAGAATCCAAAGCACTCAAAGCTATCCAGCTATTACCCGCTCTAGTAGGAAGTACATGTAGTACTGGAGTCTAGCTAGAGGTCTTTTGACTCTTTTGATCAGTGTTTTAGAGCCTAAACTAGCGAGCTAGCTAGAGACTACAGCTCAGTACTCAGTAGCTCAGTGCCCGGTAGGTACCGGCACCGTCTACCTGTACTCAAACGCACAGATCGTCAAAGATCCAAGACCAAAGACCACAAAGACCAACTAACTTTCCTCCATAGCTTCCTGCAACTGTCAAGCTGTCAATTGTCAATTTTAAAATTTCTGTACAAAGCAGCAACTCAGCAACTCCCTGTGAGGCTGTGTGGTGTGTGGCGAGCTGCGCCTTCGGCCTTTGGTCGACGAGCTTCTCCAGGCCTCCGGCGCACAAGCCGAATCTACCGGTACCCCAACCAGTGCCGGTGTGCCGAACCGGTAGACTACAATGTCATGCACTACGACAGATCCAAGGTCCAAGACCAAGGTTCTGCTTTCCTGTCAACTGCTAGCTGAGTCAAGCTGTTACGCTTCAATTAACAATTGTAAAAAGTTGGAAGCTGCAGCACTCTACTAGCTAGCACTGTACATGTACTGTATGTATGTTGCATGCGTTTCGCCTTCGTCACTCGAGTGGGCTACTCAGTACTCAGCACAAGCGGACTCGAGAAAGGAATTCGAGCAGTCTAGCTAGCTAGAGAGAGGTCGACATGTCTTCGGTACTAGCTAGTACATTGTATTCAGATTCCAACTCCACCCAGCATGCCCACATGCCCACATCCAGCCTGTAGCATCCAGCCATCGAGTTTGCTCGCAGCTCACTGGACAGACAAAAAGAGACTGGGTTGAATATTCTTGCCATGAATAATCTTTCGACCATTTACAAGAAATGGTCAGAATATCCAGTGTCCTCCTGTTTGACTTCACTTCAAAATACGCCATGCTTTACCGCTATGACTCTATGGGTAGAAATAATTGGCTCAGTCTGATCAAGTCATACGGCTGTACTGTACTCACGTACTACGGAGTATTGGAGCACAGCACCCCCAAGCCAACAAGCAATGCATAGCTACTAGCTAGCTAGCTGGCTAGCTACTAGTAGACTACATGTACTTGTCAGAGTAGAGATGCAACACGGACAGACCAGATGGAGATTTATTCTTGTTTTTGCTTTGTTTGAAGAACGATACCCACAGGATTTGCCAGGTTGAAAGCTATTGCATCCAGCACGATGGCTGGATGTGCAAACGCACTTGCAGTGTGAAAGAGTAGACAGTACACAGACACAACATTGTTATGTTTAAAGCAGCTTGCATTATTTGCACTCCTCAGGAACGGCCGCAAGCCAGAATGACGACATTGTTGGCTTCGCTCTTCCTTTGTATCACCCCTGACTTGGGGGAGGGAATAGCTCAGAGGTATTGGACTGTAACGAGAACTACAATTGAGCTCAGGTTCTTTTGAAACAAACTTGTGGTACAGTAGTTCTTTTCAAGGCCGAATTGGCACTAGCTACTATTAATAGCTAGTACGGTTCCAAGCCTCTTGGAAGCAACAAACCTACAGCACCAGTTTTCATTGACACAGCGTCTTCTTCCCCGCCATGGCGATAGTGCCTCTCCCCACTTTTCGATGTCCAAATTGTTGCCACCTTCATTAAGCGCTCAAAGACTTTGTTCCGAAGTACCCATGTTTCTGCATTCCTGCATCCAACGCGGCTGCCAAGTGATTCCAAAGTGTTGCAGCCTTTTGCTGCCCAATCACTCAAGCCCTTTCTGCACTGCATCTTCTTCTTTTAAACCAAGGGAGTGGCAACTTACCATCAGCCTTTTCTTCTCACTCTTGCCGGTTGGAAGATGAATGGCACAGTTGCGTTGTGGATGTTGGTGGAAACAAAAAACTACAAGATCTCACAAACAATCACAACCAGGTCGCGCTGATGAGAAGCAGCCGTGGACCGTGGATGCTCATCAGTATCCTACAAGCCGGCAAGTCCCATACAATTTAACAATGTTCTTTGGAAATCACTTTCTATTCGTAGTCAAGCTTTTGGAAGAGGTGGGTCATTTCTGTGCCTGCCGTTCTTGGACAGACACCTTTTGGATTTAGAAGAACCGTTTCATGAGTCTTCTAATGACGCCGAATAAAGACCTTTCTGACCATTGATTAAGAAGAGAAATGCACCAACTTATGACCATGTTAAGATTCTGATCAATTTGTTAATTGGTGCTTGAGGTTAGTGTCTTGACCGACTGCCCCCCTCGTTTGCATGACTCTCTCGACTCGTGCTTCGGATTCAAGGTGATCTCTCGCAAGAGCTCTCTACGACCTTCAAAATGGCTAGGATAGAGCAAAACCATCACAACAGTCAGCATCAGCCAGTAGACTTACTTGTATTCTCGTGCTGTTTCTCCATCACAATTCCCAGACGCTCTCTGGAAAGCAACCAAGAACCTCTACAAACGTGGTATCCACACTCACACCACAAAACAAAACAAAACAAAACAAAACAAACAAACGAAACAATCGTCCTTTTTCATTATTTACACAATTCCAGCACCTAATTTTTGTTCTTCCTCCCAGCAATCATGATGCAATACTATCGACAAATTATTCTGTTCCTCCTCCTGGTAGTCTTCCAATCGACACAAGCGTTCCATGAAGAGCCTTCCGAATCCGTCCGACGGCACCTGGCAACGATCAGCGAAGAGGACGTGATTGTCATGCAGGCCGAAATGGCATGGGGAGCCCAAGAAATGAAACGCTACAAGACCCTTCGTGGCGACTGGCCGGTACGATCTTCCTTGGCCGGTCCAGGCGACAGTAACAACAAAGCCCAACAACAACCTCTTGACAACGGAGACTCCACGCTCTTTCGTGGTGGCAGTAGTCAACAACAAGAATCCGGAGAACCACACCATGACTATTGGAATTATTTGGTTTCCATGTTCTAAAACAACGACGCAACGCAGACATGGGAAATCATTTTACGTGTGGGAACGGGAACGGGAACCCCGCCAAGCAAAGGGTAGACAAGCACACAGCTTGGAGGTTTCTGCAACATTTGCAGAAACCTATCGAGGGACAACGAATATCCCAAACAATGGTACCAAGCTGCCTTTTGGATTTTCTGCCTCATGCAGCCAAGCTGTAAAAGCAAGTGGATTCGATTCTGATTCGAGCTTTCCGCCGCTTCATCCGATGGTGCGGTTACGTACCTCGGAATTCAATCTGGTACCGCCCAGATAGCTAATAACAATCTCTACTAGATCTATTTGAAAGCAATTAAAAGCCAAACACTTTCCTCATGCTCGTCTTAGTAGCCCGCAACAAAGGACACCATGGAGCGCACCCCAAGCAACGCAGCCAAGCGGCACATCACCTGCAGGTACCGGTGGCTACCAGCCCAAAGAGACTCCATCCGCCGTGCAGCTACATCGTCTGCCGGCTAACGACCTAAAGGAACGGATCGTTGCTGGCCAATATTGGCTTGGATAGTACGGTTCCGCCAATAATTACGATTAGGCAAGACACCTCACTGTGCTTGACACCTGTTAAATCTCACCCCGTAATCAGTGCACCGCAGGAGTGAGAAACCGTTCTTTGGATGTCTTATTATACTCTTATTACAGTATGCTCTTTCGCTCCCATCACTGTACAGTTCACAGGGGTCTTCAGGCGATACCTCGATCAGGGTTCGCTAACCTGATATATTAGGTTACCGGTTACTTGCGAAAGAACCGGTAACCGGAACCGGCTATAGTAACCTTTACACTAACCTGGTAAAAAATTTCTACCAGGTTAGTAACCGACACACTAACCTAATACGATCTTGTATCCGGTTCGTGTACCGGTTAGTGTCCGGTTAGTCTATCCGGTTACTCGTCGCCGTTTCATTCCTCTCTTCCCCTCATAAATTCTCCAGGAGAAACCTGATAAGGGAAACCTATGCCGAAATTCGAGCTCTACTAGGTTACTACACCAGGTTAGTGTACCGTACCAGTGTACCAGTTACCGGTTACTTATCCGGTTACCGGTTACTCTATCCGGTTACTCGTCGTCACTCACCTGGTTCCTACCTTGTTTATTTCCTCTTTAGGTTGCCAGTTACCAGTTACCATGGCCAGTACTACTGATAAGGTTGCTACTGATAAGGTTGCTACTGATAAGGTTGCTACTGAGGAGATTGTCGAATTCATTTCAGGTGACATCCTCTCTGAAGATGGGCGGGAGGATTTTGTCCAGCTGGAGGCGCAGATGCGTAAAGGGATGGAACATGGCAACGGTGTAACCGACAATGATGTTGCCGACGGTGGTGTGGATGAAGAACAAGAACAAGAACAAGCCGTTGCCGTTGCCGTTGCCCGTGGTAATGACGACATGCAAATTGATGACCTGGATGACGAGTCTGATGGGCAAGAGGGGGATCTCCGCATTGAGTACGCCAAAGCCAAGGGTCTGTTCAAGTTGACGAAGAAGACGAATTCCCGCCGAATCAACGTGAAGAATCCTGCCGCAGTTTGGGAAGTGATGTACCTCATTGAGATTCGAAAGAAGACTGACTGGAGTGAGGTTGAAAGACTGGACCCACAAGCCAAAAAGAAACTTTGGGATGCGGAAACTGCTAAAAAGCCCTGTGTTGCATGCCTTGTTTGTTTCAAGCTTTCAGTCGTCACCGTCAGCTAACATTTTTTGAGCTGATAGCCGCTGTCAACCAGCAAATCACAGAAACGGACCGACCACCACAAAAAGAATTTGAAGAAGGCCGTCCCATTTGTGACTCTGCACCATGATGTTTGGGAGTCAAAGAAGAAGGATGTCCTTGGTGTTTCCATTTCTTTTTACAATCCGGAGAGGCAAGAGCAGTTGTTGATTCCAATTGTTCTTTGTCTGTGTACTGACAAGACAGGTATTCCGACTGTCAGCACAATCAAGAAGTATCTTGTGACCTTTGTAGTGGAGGAGCGAATGCTCTACAAGGCAGTCAATGACACTAACAATACGGCTTTGATGATTGGCCGATTGCTTGTTGGTAAGAATGGACACTGTGCCATGCATCAGATACAGTTGGCTCTTGATCATGCGACGGGTGCTAAGATCAGGAAGAGACAAAAGAAAAATAGTTGGACAGCTTTTGACGAGTGCCAGAAGGTCAAGCGACGGTCTATTGAGTGTACCAAGTGGATTCAAAACAAAAAGTCCAAAGGACGGTGGTTGGATTACGTCAAAGCAATGCTAGATGTTGGTCGGGAGGCTCGGAAGGTCAATTGCCCAAACGCCACACGATCTGGCGGTATGATCCTACACTACGAAGAACTCGTTGAGGTCCCGCTGGAATTATGAAGCATTCTGGCATGAAGAGCCTAGGGCTTTGTCACAAACCGATGACGAGTATTGGATCGTCGCCCACATCACTCCATCCTCTACCCCACCAAAATCCTTCTAATGCAGGTTCAGTCGGACAATTTTGGTGCCATATCTTACACTGTCTACTTCATCTTCCGGACCTTTGCCATCCTGGTTACCTGCAGCAACTACTGGGTGGTGGAAACAAGAAGGCGTGAGATTGTTGACAAATCGGCAAAGTGGAGTGCTGAGGCAATGCTGCCAGTCATGAAGTTTGATGGTACCCCCATTTATCCAAAGCCCATCTTGGAGGGAACTGGTCCCAACAAGATCTGTCATGTACCCGGATCACCAACTCAAGTATCAATGAAGAAGGTGAACAAGGAAGAGTTCCATGATTTATCCAAGAAACTCATCGGAAGGCTTACCGCGGAGTATGTTAGGTATGGCGCCAACATGAAGATGACTTCAACCAGAGTCGACTGTTGGCTTTGGGATGCAATCCATTTACTTCCACGTATCTGTTGAACGAGTTGGTTTCCCTTGGCACCATGGTGGCTGACCCTACTGTTGGCGACCCTAAGTACAAGCCTCTGACATCCGATCTGAAGAAGCTCGTCAAAGATATCCTAATGAAGGAAGTACGAGAGATCTGCAGTGAGCTACTCAAGGATCCTGAAATGGTGTGCCCGGGCTACCTTTGTGGAATACCATGACGACGACCCCACGGTCAGTGACTTCGAGAAATTGAGAAGGAAGAAACAAAGGAACGAAGAACAAGTTCAGTCCAGGCAGCTCTTGGGGATCGAGGTGGAGCGAGAGGTAGAGGCATGGTTCTCGCAAGACTTTCATCTCACTACTGCTCTCAAACTACAGAAGTCTCGTCCCGTCCCCCATGATGTTCTTGATCGGCTCGGAACAAACAAGATCTGTTGGCTTGAAAATGTGGAGAAGATCGTCCAACACTTTGATATCATGGACTGGTGTGGAGCGGGAAGGGAAGATTACCTATCCCTTATTTATGCCGTGGCTCTGTTGCATCCTTGCCCTTCCCGACAGCAATGGATTCCAAGAACGAACCTTTAGTGCGGCGACTTGGATGGACGGAATCCTCAATGCTCTGCAAGGTGACGTCACCTTCCAAATGAAGGTTCTCGTCTACAAGAATGCCGAGTTCTTGCGGAAGTACCGCCAGTACTTGAAGGAGGGCTATCTGGATAAGGCAAAGGAAAAGATCAAAATGCTATTGAGCAACACTACTGCGGATATGAAGTCAGATGAGATTACGAGTGACATGGAAGATATGCTTGAGGACCTGGGTTTGTTGGATGGTGACGATTAGGCATGGCGTGGCATTGCGTGGCAATACGATGGAAGTCTCACACCTTTCATCGTCAATGGGTATCTATCTCTTTACCTAGCAACTCAATGGCAAGGCATGGCGTGGCATTGCGTGGCAATACGATGGAAGTCTCACACCTTTCACTCGTCAAGGGTATCTATCTCTGTTACCTAGCAACTCAATGGCAATACCTATTACCTATCTAACTAACAAACTAACAAACTAACAAACAAACTTACTATGACAATACCAGGTTACTTTATCAGGTAACCTACAGGTTACCTGATAAATACCTGACACTAACCTATACACTAACCTACTACAAAAATTCTATCAGGTTAGTAACCTATACACTAACCCAGTGCAATTTTCTACCGGGTTAGTGTATAGGTTAGTAACCTATTCCTCAAATCTATCAGGTTAGCGAACCCTGACCTCGATGACCCTTGATCCCAAAAAGACCACGTTATGTGCCAGCTCAAAAAGAATCTTACAGGATGACTTCTTTTACCGCTGACAGGTGTAAAATGTGAGCATTTTTGACGGTTATGTTTCGGGTTTCGAAAATGGGAACCCAGAAGTGGTCATTTCACGATTCCGTTGCACCATTCGGTGGTGAATGACTGGTTGACTGGTTCGCTAGAATAACAAGAAAAGATTGAATTTTATCACCATGGCAACAGTGTTGGCCAAATGGTCTCTAGCTTAACCAATACATTGTTCTGGCCTATCCGGTCAGAGGACTAGCTCCCCAACACACTCACAGGCACTCTCCTTGCGCGGGATAGGCCATCTCCAACCTTTGTCATTGAGCCTCAATGAAAAATCAAGCTTGGATTCCATTTTGTTGTCATTCTGCCATGCATTTCTCCATGGGAAAGGTGCTCCAGTCCTCACTCTCAGCACTCAATCTGCACTGTAGAGTCTGGTAGAGGAGTGGGTGGCTTTGGATGAAGACTGGAGCACCCATCCCAAAGGTTCAAAGGAGAATTGTTGACTTGATGGCCACAAAATTGGGCAGATTTCATGTTTGTAATCAGTCAACAGCAGTAGTAGCGAAGCTGACGCTTGTTTCATTAGTAGTAGCAGTGTCATAGGCTCACGGACTCTCCGTGGAAGAGGAAGAAATCCTCATGGTCGCGGCGTGAAAGAGGCTCCGTGAAAGAGGCTCCGTGAAAGAGGCTCCGTGGTCCGTGGCAGCAGGAAGAAGACAGAATCGAATCGATCCATCGAACCGAAGAAACTTGTTGCCCGTGCCATTGACGTGGCGTCGCTTGTCGTTCTAGCAGTAGTTGCTTGTTGTGGTAGAGGCGTCGTCGCTCCGTGGAAGAGGAGGCGTCATGGTCGCTCCGTGGAAGAAGAGCCCATCGATTGTCGTCGCGTCGCCGTCGAACGGAAGCTTCTGTCATCGATTCGTCGAACGGCTGCCGCTACCAACCAACCAAGAGGAGCCTGTCATGGTGGTGAGTAGTAGCCTTTGTTAAGAGGAGTAGCTGCTGTAAAGAGGAGGAAGCATCATCTTGATAGAGGAAAGATAGAGGTATCATCGAAATAATAGAAGAAGAGGTGTACTAGTACGAGTGCATGGCTTGGATCGATCCGAGTGATGTCAGTTGGCTATACGTCCCTTAAGTCTTTTCACGGAACGTTCCTGGAAGTTCCGGTTCGCATTCGAATGTCGTACCGGGAGCGGGCTTGCGTTTGTCTCGATAGTATAGATTCAGCCTGTAGAATCTTTTACAAACACAGCCAAGAAGACTCCCGCCAGCCAGGCAAGAGGTCGAGGAGATAGAAGGTGGCCGAAAAGGGACAGTAGGCAGTGATATGATTGGTGGAGGACACAGGTAAGACACAATAGTTATTTAACACTAAGACGCATTAAAAAGGGAGGCACTGTGCTACCAATCTAGCCATTTTCTTTTCTTCCGAAACGAAAAGATAGATTCCCAAGTTAGATTCCTTGGTTCAAGATGATGAAACGACGGTCATTGTCAATGACAAGACCATCTCGACTTTGCAGCAAAGGGCTTGAAGATGGCCGAAAGACCTCCCATGGTTAATCCATACAAGAAGAGCCGCCCTCCAGTGGCTCAAAAAGATACAATGGGCCGACAGAGTCAGCAGAGAAAATCTAATCAGAAGAGGGCCTACCACGCAGCGAACAAAAGCAAAACAACCAACAACAAGAAGAAGAAAGGCGATCAGCTTACTCTTGACGGACAGGTTGCTTTTGATGCGTTGCGTGACTGTGTTGTATGCAAGGCATATGCAAGGAGGAAAGCTGGGTTAGCTGTTACTGTACCAAAGCGAGTTCATCACCCACTTTGCATCCGAAATACCAAAACCAGAGGCTGCGGGGATATCTCCCAACAGAAGCTGGCAGATATTCGGGAAGAAAAGAGATTGACCAAGGTCTACACAACGCCTCTTACTGCTGCTGAGAAGGGTAGCTGGAGGCATTCGACAAAGGAAGCCGGTGAGGAGTTCTTTGCTCCAAGGGCAATGCCTGACAACAACCAACAACCCAAGGAAGCCGCGCCCAAGCAAGCACCAGTGGCACCGGAGCAACAAAAAATGCCGGCTACATCTGATTTATCACCCCAGCTTTTTTGCAAAGAAGTGACACGCATGGTTGGGGATGCTGCCTTCTGTGACAAGCACAAGTCGAAAGGTGCGCCCATTGCCATGATGGCTTTTGCGACTGTGATTGTGGACAAGGTACTGCTTTGCAACAACGACTCTCTTTTCCGTAGACACTTTCAGGGCATTACTACAATAGTTCCTGATGCAGGAGAAGCCGAGCCTTGGTACCACTCTATTGTCGGCCAAAAGCTTCTTCTTGTTGACTGGAATCGCATTGGTATTGAAGTGCCCTGCCCTGATGCTACTTGCAACGGTTTGTTGAAGAATGAGAGAACCAATTTCTCTAAGAATAAGACACTCTTCCCCATCTTTGGACTAGATGGGTCCCCTTCCTGGTGCATGTTCATGATCATGAAGTGTCGGTGCTGCAACAGACGGTTTGATGCCAATTCGGCTGAGGTGTTGATAGCGATCCCACCCCACGCATCGTTATTATACCCCGTGGAGTCCAAATATGCCCTGCAGCGAACTAGTCACCTTTCCAGAACAGCTACTGAGGTCTTCTCTTCCATCATGTTGACATATGCGAATGGCGAACTATGCAGTCGCTTGATCTACAACACAATCAATCGAGACTTTCTTCAAAGGGTGTCTTCCTATTATTCGATGGTTAACTACAAAAAGAAACAGAACCCAAGCTTTCAAGTGCGTCCTTACATCCTCAAAGATGGCCAGTTCATTCGCCACATGGTGATACCATCCGTGATATATTCGACGAAGCAGCTTCGACAAGAAGCAATCCATGGGGAATTAGTGATAAACAGAGGCACACCAGAGAAATCCAAAGCGTGACTTGTGTTGATGGTATCTTTTGTCAAGATCACACCTTTCAAGCCGTGAAGAACTACCAAAAGAGTCTTGGAGCAGTGGCTGTTTGGGATGCTGCCACCTCTACTGGTGAGATTGCCTCTGCTGTTTTGGTTCCATCCACGAAAACATTACACTTCTCGCATGCCGCCAAGCAACTCGCCACCAGAGAAAGCTTCACTCCTAAGGTCATGTACAGCGATACTTGGCCAAACAAGGATGATTATTGGGAGTCACTCTTCCCAGACATACAAGGTAGACTTGGACTGTTCCATTTTGAGAAAAGGATCATTGAGACTCTGAGGAAAAACCACATTGATCACATGGACGCAATCAATGACCTCTTGAACTGCTTGTACGTTTACTCACCGGTTGATTACGAGAATCTTCTTTGTGCTTTGCGAGATGGATCAATTGGGAAACGGTATTCCACTGGAGACATTGCAGATCTTCGAGTATCAAAGCAATTTCGTGATCGGTATTCCAAGTTTCTTCGCAAGGAAATGAGAGAACCACAGACTATGGTTCAGCTCTTGGACGATTGGTTCTGTCGGTACAAAGTGACCTCCTCCAATAATGAAACTCGACCCGCAAAGGGAAGACTTGATCCAGTCAGAAAGATTACCTTGTTTACCCAAGACACGAAGACAGCCGTGGAGAACTGCAAAGAAAAGGCACAACACATTAGCGACCCGCTTCCATTGGAAGAGATGTACGACGCTATCAAGCCAAGCCCCAATGCGAAACACAAACTCACCGAGTATCTTTCAAAGCGAGGGGAGTCCAAGCTTGAAGCCTTTCATGACCGATTTGCACATTTCGCCAACTGTGGCATGAGGAGGACCCTATGCGACAACCTCAATCTTTGTGGGACGGCACGATACAACCTTGCCATCAGACACAAGCGTTCTCTTCTTACCTTGAAAGATAATGAAAGACGAGTCATTCCATCAGGCTGGGAAAAGGTTGTGCCATACTGGAATCATAGAGAGCTTGCATTCATCAACAAGATGGCGACGGCCGCTGGTGTCATTGTGCTTCCCTTCCCCAAGATCGAATCCTTGCCAAAAGATAATGGTGAGCGATTCTTCTCCGAATATTTCACTACGATTCGACAACAAAAATATAATGGCGACCATTGTGTTTGCCTTACATGCGATCAACAAGCGATTCTACCATCGCCAGCACTGGCAGCACCAACCGTCAATTTGAATTCAAATCTGCTACCTATGGAAAAAGCAACTGACAATGATTCAGTTAGACGCAACAATCTAAATACGGCGACAAATACCAACCGTCAGCCACCGGTACCAGTACCAGTGCAGCAACAACCAGTAACAGTGCAACAACAACCGGTGCGCCAATGGCCGCTACCACCGCCATTAACTTACCAGATGCCCTACTTTCAGCCCATTCTACCTGCTTTCCCCACCTACTACCGACCACCAGTGAGAGGTTGTTGCGAGCGTTATAGGGGATGGTTGCTACGGCGCGTCGGAAGACCACCACACGACCCTCATTGTCGCCACCGAAATTTTATTAATGGATACTCGCTTGGTGGGGGAGGATAATGGAAGGAACAGACGAGAAGAGAGTTTGGGGGTATACACGAATAAAATAATTTGAATCAGTGCTGACACTTTTGCGACTTTTCTAGGTAGAGGTGCGGTGTTAAGACTCGAAGATTTAATGAAACTCCCCACTTTCTTGCCAAATCCCCTCGTTTCCATATGTAAGTTGGGTCATGCAAAAAGAGAATGGTGACGTAAGTGTCATTCGTTCCAGTCCCTGTTCGGGAATCTAGAATCTTGCCTCCAACCTCCTCTCTCTTCTCCTCCCCTCCGCCCCCCTCCGGGGTGCCGAACCCCCCCTAAATGTTATAGAAGGCTCCGCCCAAGCGAAAGGCTCGTTAGTTGTATGATGTGTTTCCCTGCCTGGCGCTCCCAAAGGACTTTGAACCAAACCATGGTCTCCCCTCTGCAGTTTGACCGAATTCACATCTGTGCCAGCCCCCACCATTGGTGCGATCCAGCATTGGTGCGATCTAGTGGCAGAATTTGTGAAAACAGCGCCAAAAGAATGATTCAATCCACAAGCAAACGTCGCATTGTCTCTGATGGTTCGTTCTGCCTCAGCAAACTCTTCTGTGTTCGCATTGATTGTCTGTCTAGTCAGCTCGGCCAACTACTGTAGGGCGTGACTTCATTTCATTCTAGTTCTTTTTAGCCTTCTATTCTACATGTATATCAAACGATCACAAGCTACTGTGCCTGGGCGATTCGCCCACCGCTCATGCATTCATCATGGGCGTCCTTGGGATCCTTGTCGCCGTAAACCACACCCATGAGTCCAGGGAAGAACTGGTCAATCATCCTGACACAGAGAGCCACCGTGTGCACAACCATTTCCGTGGAGAGCTCAGCTCCCAACAAGTGGTTGGAACTCTTGAAGCGGACTTCCCCATCGCTCATATCCATTTCAAAGTTTCCGATTGATAGCCCGTAATTGACCCAAGTCAAAAAGAGAGCCGCTTGGGTTCGCTTCTCTTCAGGGACGGTGGCGGGAGTCTTGATGTAAAAGAGGAATTTCTTGTCCGCTTCCTCGGTCGCAACGATGACTCGGCTCGATCCGACTTTGCAGTTCATTGTAAACACAATGATTCGGCCTGGTTCTTGGACGTCATATCTGAGTCCGAGCTCATTGAGACCGGCTATGGTGGTTTGGTACATTGGTCCTTCCCCACTGGCGGAAACGAGTTGCTGCAGCAACCCACCCAAGCCAGCCCCCGAAGACGAAGATGCCTCGCCAGTGGCCTCTTGGGCAGCATGGGGTCTCCCTTCGGAGACCATTTCTTCTGTGGACACTTCCGCGTCGACGGCCTCTTCCTCCGCAACAGAGTCGGTCTGGGAGTGCTGGGTGGCCTCGGTAGCATCGTCGGCCATCTTTTCGGCCACGGCGGATTCAGCCATCAAGATCCCGAAGGTGGGTGGTGGGGCTTCCATGATGTCGTCAGTTTGTAAGCTGTTTCCGTTTTCAGTTTTGGTTTCCAACTCTGCGCTTGCGCTTTTGTGAGATGCCTTGACAAACATGCCTGGCTTCAAAAGGAAAAGGCACGGCTGGTAGCACGGCTGGTCTATCGTGAAAAGACGTGACGACAGGACAGCTTCGCACAGCAGGCTAGCAGGTGGTATCCAGTAGAAGCAGGAAGAGGAACATGACACAGACACGTTTCATCAGACGTAATTATGGGGTTAGGGTTACACTGCGTTCTGGGAGGTCAGCCTCGGGTCAGTGCCATGCCGCAATAGCCATCAACTTGAAGGCACTGAATCCTGGATGATCATTGAGGGTATCCATTTAGAAGGCTGTTTGAGAGCGTCTCCTGCCTGTTTGCAAGGTTGGTTTGCATGAACATGAAAAGTCCTGCCTATTATTATACAAGTAAATTGAAAGAAAGCTTGTAATTTGTCCAACGACGAATGCCTTGGCCCCTCCGCATTGTCTATGATAGCTCCCACAAGATTGTCA